TGCCTTGCCTCCCACGACTATTTAGATCTACTACTGTCAAATTCTCTTTTATCCATTTTATCCCTGACAACCAGACCCTCAGCCTGATTTCTTTTACTTTCCCCAGTGATATCTCTGTCTATTTGCTCCTTAGATTTTAGTGCAGATTTAATTTCCTGATACGAAACTGTTTCTTTTCCATAAATCAAAGTATCACGAAAATGCTTAAAAGATTGGGGAAGAGAACACAAGAGCAACAAAGCCTTATCCTCATCATCAATTTTTGCATCTATATTCTCCAAATCCATAACCAAAGAACCAAACTTATCAAGATGCGAGAGTATAGATGTACCTTCAACCATCCGAAGCATATACAGTCTCTGCTTCAAGTAGAGACGATTCTCCACTGTCCTCTTCATGTACAAAGCTTTAAGTTTGTCCCACATGCTCTTAGCCGTAGTCTCCGTAGCTACCTCCCGTAAAACCTCATCAGAGAGATTTAGAATGATGCTTGATCGGGCCTTCTTATCCATACCCGCAAGCTCTTCTTTTGACATATCATCTGGAATGCTCTCGGCTCCCTATAGTACCAAATCAACTCCGTCTTGAACCAGAATGGCCTCCATCTTGAGTTGCCACAAGCCGAAGTTGACATTTCTGTCGAATTTCTCGACAACAATCTTTGTTATTGTCATCGTTGCCAAAAGATCCCAGAACCAGGCTCTGATACCAGTTTGTTAGAGCTAGCCCCAGGATATTTACCACAAGGATAATTTTGGCAACCAAACAAAGACAATAAAGCGGAAAGAATAAATGCAACAAGAGAGACAAGAACACCAGAACACCAGATATACGTGGTTCGATCAATTGACCTACATCCACGGACGAAAGAGGAGCAAATCACTACTATAAAAGAGGGACACTTACATATGCCTTAGGAAGTTATTCCTAGGCCATAAAACACCTTGAGCTTCCTAAACAAGAAGACTTCAAACCATAAGCAGGTTTTCCCTGCTGTACTTCTTGTGGTGTCTGTGGTACATCTCGTGGTGTGTCTAACATCAAAGCCCAGGCCCTTATTTATAGTTCCAAGACGAGACAACAAGTCTGATTTTCCCGATGTGGGACTATGGGACTTGCCAAACTAACAGCAGGTGGCTTTTGTGGTGAAAAAGATTCAATCCCCCTCCTCGGGCTAAGGGATTGGTATTTACACATGTGGTGACAACTCGATCGTACGTGGGTTGTTAATGACCGCTAATACTTCATCCGACATAGTCGTGCGAGCGACCGGTATGTATGCTCTTAACGATGCCGGTTGATTCGTCTGGTGCCTCACCATTGACTCGTATGATTTCAGGTGGCACGGAGTTAGTTGCACATCATCCGTTGAGTTGACTGTGCTTTCTCCTGACACGTGCTATGCACATGCTCCACGTCGGCTCCTCGATGATTGCCAACTGTCACTTTGTAGTCAAGGTGGGAACATTCCCTACCACAATCAATGGACGAAGACGAGGATGATAAGATAAGGACGATGGACAATGATGAGAGATAGAGACGATCAAAATGGGATGACGATTAATTGGGAGAAGATTAAGAGTAATCTCATTTAAAAAAAATAAGATACGTTCCGTGAAAAAAAAAAAAGAATAAGATTTTTTTAAAGAATTTACTCATATAATTTTAGAATATTTTTTCTATAATTATTTTAATAAAAAATAAAATATTTAATGAGTCTTTGGTAACCACACATGAGTGCTAAAGACGCATGAGACTTCTTAGGACACGTCGGTTCGAACTTACTCGTGACGTTTTATGCTGTTGTTTTTTCTTCTTTCGGGAAAAGGAAAGAAATAAAACTCTCTAAGATGATCTGTCGCGACGTTGAACGCCAAACAATCAACACCGATCGAATGAACAATCCTTTAAATTATAGCGACCGGCGTCCAAAGATCATCATCGTCGACTAACTCACCGAGCCCTTCTTGCAATTAAGGGGAAGAGAAGCGTCCAAGGTCGCCTCAGCTTACAAGCCACCACCGCGCGCGACCAATTCGTCGTCTCCCTCCAAGCAATCACGAGCCGATGGCGACCTCCCACCGGCTGCTTCTTTCTTATATCCCCTCTCCGCCAACGGCGGCAGACCGCGTTCGTACATCTCGATCAGCATGAGATGCCGCTTCTCTCACTCTTCACCTACTACCTTCCTTCTCCATCCCTGTCACTAAACTATTAATGATAATTTAATTATCATCCAATAATGAAAACATTAAATATTATATAAGCGATTTTTTTTAAAAAAATATTAAATATTTTTTATATAATATTTTTGATCAATTTAAGAATATTATTTAGAATAGTGATATAAAGCACAAGTTTGTAAATTTAAAGTTTTAAAATCTTTCATATTAATTCAATATTCGTTGAATAAACTCAAATTAATATGTCTGGTCATAATTATCATTAAATTATTTAAGACTAATATTTATTTTTTAAATTTATTTTCTTTCATTATTTAGTCTTATGAGCTTCACTATTTTTTAAGGAAATTAATATCAAATTAATTTTTAATATAACTACAATTGTTTGGGTCAAGTAATTTAGGTAAAAAAATAAAAGAAAATAATGTAGCTCAAGTCAAGACTTACCATCTTCCCTCTCTTTAGTCATAGGAGAGAAGAAGAAGAAAGAGAGGAGATCAAAATTGGAAGCGCAAAGATGAAGCTACCTTGGGGTCAGAACCATGCCACCAATCGCCGGTTCAACGGCTACCGCCCGTCCCCCCCTCTGCCGGAGGTCGCCGGCGTGGGCACCGCAACCGATGGCGCGTCGAGATCCCCTTCCACCGTGCTGTGGTTCGTCCTCCACGGGCTCTGCTGCTTCGTCAGCCTCGTGCTCGGCTTCCGCTTCTCCCGCGTCGTCTTCCTTCTTCTCTTCTCCACCTCCACCCTCTACACCTCCGCCCCTTTCCTCCTCACCACCACCACCACCACTACCACCACCACCACCACCACCACGACCACCACCACTACTCGCACGGAGACCGTGACGATCTCACAGCTGCCCTCCGCCACGCCGGCCGCCCCGCTTCCGCTCCATAACCGGACTCACGGCCCCGTCGTGGTCGGCCGCCACGGGATCCGGATCCGGCCGTGGCCGCACCCCGAGCCTGCCGAGGTGCTGCTGGCGCACCAGATAATCGAGAGGGTCCAGCACGAGCAGCGGCTGCAGTACGGCTTCAAGAATCCCCGCCCGCTCATCGTCGTCACGCCCACCTACTCCCGGACCTTCCAGGCACTGCACCTCACCAGCCTCGCCCACTCCCTCATGCTCGTGCCCTACCCGCTCACTTGGATCGTCGTGGAGTCACCCGAGGCCTCGAATGAGACCTCCTCCATCCTTGCTGAGTCCCAGCTTAACTTCCTCCATATCCCATTCCTCGATCGGATCCCGGAGAGACTCTTGGAACGACATATCGTCGAAGCTCGGATGCGTCTTCACGCACTGAGGTTTGAGGATTTTCGTTGTTGTCTTTAGTTTCTTGCTTTGTGTGTAGTGGTTGGATCTTGATTGGGCATAATGGAACAGAGTGGTGAGGGATCGGAAGCTGGACGGGATTGTGGTGTTCGCCGATGATAGCAATGTGCACAGCATGGAGCTGTTCGACGAGGTTCAAAAGGTGAAGTGGATGGGTGCTCTCTCAGTTGGAATTCTTATGCATTCTGGAATGACTGAGACAATGGGTAATGACAAGAGAAAGGAGAAGTTTCAGATGCCCGTTCAAGGCCCGGCTTGTAACTCATCAGGGGACCTGATCGGCTGGCATACTCCTAATTCTTTGCCATATGCACAGAATAGTGCAACTCCCATGGGCGAGATGCCAACAGTTCCTGGGAAGATGGAGTGGGGTGGTTTCGTGTTGAACTCGAGATTGTTGTGGAAAGAAGCTGACGGAAAACCTGATTGGTTTCGTGATCTTGATGCCGTGGGTGACAGTGAAATTGATAGCCCATTGGCCCTGTTAAAAGACAAGTCCTTCGTTGAGCCTCTTGGTGAGTGTGGCAAGAACGTCCTGTTATGGTGGCTCCGTGTTGAAGCCTGCTTTGATAGCAAATTCCCACCGGGGTTAGTTTACAGTAACCTTTTATATTATAGAATTGTTCTTGGTGATTTAATTTGACTTCTGAATTCTTTTTGTCTCATTTAGGAATTGATACTGAATGTATTAGCTTTCTGTAACTTTCTGTTGACGTCTATCAAGCATTTCTCATTTAACTATCATAAGCTATTTGCATTGTGGAGTTAACAGCTCAAATTTATTAGATTTTTTTCCCCTGTGGTCTGCCATGTCTTGGTCTTGTATAATTATGGCCTAAATTCCATGATTCCTAGAGAATTACCATTAGTACTACCTTATAAAACTTTGTCCAAGTCGCCCTATTGTTATGCTAAACTGTTCATTAGCCTTTAACAGTTTAACTAACTCTATCATATTCTCAATTTAGGTCTATCATCATGCCTTCTGATCTTTAAGGGGTAAGAAGTTGTCTATTGAAAAATTTGTTCTGGGTAATCAAAATGTGTTTGAGGTAAATTTTTATCAATGTAATCATTGATTAGGTGTCTAACTACATATATGGAGGTTCTATTGATCAATACCATAACTTTCTGTGTTTTCAGATAATCTGCACATCCTCTAAACATAATAACTGCTGCACATCATCTAAACATACATAGTAATGGACCTAAAATTCCCTCGGATAATACCTCCGATATTTATATATGACGCCAAAAGATCACCCCTAGATCTTTTTGTTTTTTTCAGTCGACATCACTCTTGATCTAGTCTCTCTATGTATTATGTTCACATTGCATCCATCTCATCCATTTGGAAGTTCCTTTGTAGTATTATGTTTGATCTCTGAAAATGATGAGTAAAAAGGTTATACGAGTGCAAAAGCCCAGTGTGAAAACTAGATAAGTTATTACCAAGGCTCTTAAATTATTTTATAGGGGACTGCATTTTCAAAAAAGAATTTTTATTACCAAGGCTCTTTCTACTCGTAAATTCACTTGCTCAGCTCTGGAAACTCCAAGCTACACATTATGAAGGAAATAATAAAAGAAGTTAGATGACTCCAAAACTAGCATGTCATTTAGAAGTGTAAACCCATTTTTCTCTCAAAGGAAGTAAATGGTATCATAGAGAAGGTTTGAGAAGAGGTGTGGGACTGAGGAATAGTAGACACTCACGGGCACCTTAACATGTTTTTGATAGAAAGAAATATCACCAAGAGATGAGGTGGTTTTCAAGACAGAGGGACTAAGATTTCTCTCTCCATTTTCGCTACAAAGTATGTATAGTTTTCTTTTACCTTATCATCTTTACTTTAGTTATTTCTCTCCCTTCCTTGTGTGTTTGTCCACCCAAACTCCTAGTAGGAGATGGGACCAATTTGATAATAATGGTCCTAGTTCAATTTGCACTTGGGCTTGGATTAGGTACCTGCCATCACAATTTCCTATCCTTGTAGCCTGGAAAGGTCTGATTGTGGAAATCAGGCAAGACAAGATAATATGTAACAATAAGTTTTAAGGGGGTCATCACAATTTCCAATCAGGCATCAATCACAAACTTAGCATGCAAGCAGTTCAAGAAGGACTAGATCATTTTTAGTGCACGGTTGCAATATCAAATTTCTGAAACCATAAATTTGACCTTGAAAGGGTCACCACTTATAAAGCCTAGGTGACTTGTAAGTTGGCTTCAAACAAGAAGCATCAATACTAAAAGTCACATATGTAATATGCGTTTAACTATACCGAAGACAAAATAAAAGACTTACCAGGAACCTATGGTCACCATGTATTACTAGTTCTCTTGAGGTCTAGTGATTGAATATTTATAGTTCAAGTTTCAAGGTTCATGAAGTTAGGATTGACTATGAGCTTTGGAATTTAGATGAATGCAATCAACCAACATATTATTCGATATTTTTTCTTTTTTTTGTGAAAAATGGTTTAAGAATTCAAAAAAATATAAAATGAGAATTACAAGAAAAAGAAGAAATTGTGAAACTGATGAAAACAATAATTAAGATCATAACAACTCAACATAGACTTATCACATGCCATACATATCTTTATCCAGATTTTGTAATAGCACATGTAGAATATGAGAAGAGGGAATCACACCTAATCCTATCACCAAAATAGATCCTAGTGTTACAACATGTACTACGGCCAACTAATCCTATTCCTCATGCATCATGAACCAAGCTCGGTGTCACACTTCATACTCACCCATGTATGACAACCATAAATAGTTCACAATCAAGATAACCATGCAACCAATTGCACTAGGTGAAGTGACTAGTTGATTTTTAGCTTATATAGCTAAAGTTGCATTGCAGTTGGCTGATTGATCTCAATTCTTGGTTGATATAGATAAGTGAGTAATCAGATCAAGATCAACTAATCTTCTGTAAAGTGCAAACCTTATTTATTGTCAAATATAGATAGTACAAATGAAATTATTCTTTCTAAGCATTCTCTGGATGATCAATGTCTTAGCCCTTTTGTTTATTCACAAAGGCAATTGGGCATTGTTTAAATTGTTTAATATGGTCTAAAAGAGCCATGTTTTTCTGAAGGTCAATTATGATCCCAACACCAATATTCTCAAAGTTCTTCCCTTGGTATGTATTCATGATAACATGTCTATGTATGTCTCTCCAATTATTACTTGATCACTTGGAAAGATAGTTTCTTATGTAATAAATTGATAGTGAAGTTGATTACCCGATTTGAAGTACTCTTTCGTTATTGTAATCTATGCCCCCTATAGAACAAAGATGCATTTAAAAGATGTTGCCTGAAACCATAGAAAGCACTCTTATGCTTTAGTTATCCATCATCTTGTGCTACTAAATTCCTGGCATGCTATGGTGTGGAGTTAAATTGACTAGCTCATACCTTAGCTAAAACATCTTCTGCTAACAAATACTATCATATTACCCACTTTGGCTATTCATTTGTGTGGAATGGTACCCACCCATGACAAAATTGTCAGCTGTTTGAAAATGCTCGAGAAGCATAACTGAGAACTTATTTAGAGTTTCTTATATCTGCTATTGATTTGTGAATTTACTCAAAGTATGTGCTTTTGCTGGAAAGATGACAGCAGTATATCAATTCATGAAATGATTCATAGAAGGATAAGCAGCTAAGCTCATTAATTTACTTAGAGCAGTAAAGTCAAACTCACAAGAAATGACAGGCCATATTTATTGACATATGATATTAATCTATAGACAAGAAATCTTATTAAGTAGATTTTTTACAGTTTGATAGTTGTTTACACAAAGTCCTAGTTCGATATGGAGCCTAAGTTGAGTTTATTTACTCCTACAGAAAGATAGTGGCTATACTTTGACAACCGAATACCTAACTTTTCTTTATATAGGTTTATTCTTCTGTTTTCTGTTATTTTTAATTTTTATTGCCGTGGAATGAAGTTCTGAACATAGTCTAACTGATGAAACAAGTAATATGTAACACCAACTTTCATTTTCACTTGCATATCTTGGTTTTCTATAATCTATATGGATGATTTGTTGTTTAACTATTGTATCTAATGCAATTACCCATCAACTGAACGACTTTGTTTTATCATATGCTGCGTGATTTAGTGTCAACAGGAATCCTCTGGTATTCAACTCTCTTTGTCTTCGAGCTTAATTTGTTTTGTGTGCACTATAATCCAAGAAATTGGCATGTAACTTCATTAGTAATATGATTCTTTGATAGGCTTTAGTTGTTGAATGTTCCAGTGACAAACAAGCCTTCTTGCATTGCAGATGGACAATAGAACCTGCTTTTGGAATGACTGATGTACCTGATGCACTTCCATCTGAAACGATGATTGCTAACAAAGATATGTTTGATATGAAATTTTTAAGAAAGACTGGGTCATCCAGGTCAAGGGATGATGCTGATGGTGAAAATAAGCATGAACAGCAAGTGGATACTGAAGCTCCCGGGATTTCCCAAGGCTAAGAAAAGTCATGCCTCCAAAATTTCCACAGAGTTTCGTCGTACTTTCTGAAGTTCGTTCAAGAAAAGTAGTTGTCCTATCTACTTCAAGAAAATTGCATTCCTAAATCAGGAAATGTTAATATTTATTTCATTTTTTTTCTGGAGCATTGCTGGATACATCTGAGTGTCAGCATTTTACACTGGATTTCCACTTCATCAGTTGAAGATACTATGCATTAGCATCCAGAAAGCTAAACCAAGTCGAAGTGCTCAAGAAATTGTCATGACGTGTGAAGGATGAGCCCAACATGGTGAGGAGATTAAACATAAGGTTTGATATATCGATGCTGATCTATCTATCAAATTATGCTTGCATGCAGGTTGATCGCCCCATCATAACTGGCATGCTGATTTGATATAGTAAGGCCATGCTGCAAAAGTCAGTTGATTCTTTGTAATGCTCATTTCGGTTTAGATAGATTTGTTTATTGGAATTCGAGTATAACCCAATCAGATCAATCTTAAAAAGAAGTGTTGTATGTAATAGAAAATTTTATTTCATTTCATGTCCATAACATGTAGAATATTCATGGATGTGCATGTCACCTTTATTCTGGACGTCTGCGTATGCATTCTAACACTGTTCATACTCATGCCACATATTTACATCTCAATTTCATTCCACGCAATCTTTCGATCATTTAGCTTTATTCCATGTTTATAACTAAATTGTTAAATATAAATTAAATAGTCTAATAAGAAAATGATGCACATCATATTTAACCTTTCACTGCCAATAACTCAAAAGCTTATCAACAATTTTTACGTTCTTTTTTTTTCTTTTTCTCTTAACAACAATCTCAGAAGACTTAACAGGAACATGAGAACTAGTTTGAGATTAACAAATGATTAGAACGCTAAAGGAACTTGAAAATATGATTTTTCTCTTTTCAATTCAATCCCCACCAACAAAATTTAGAAGCTTTAATATGCTCTTTTCAAACAATGAAGGCCGGATATGGTAAGGCTCCGATATGAGGGTGTTCATCTACCTGCTATTGTTTGATTCGGTGAGATTCTAGCACGTGGACTTGTTTCGTTTGGTGAGAGTCTCTCACTAGGGCAGGCAGCTTCAATCGCCTGTTGCTTTCGAATCTGATCTCCTCGAACGCCGCCTTCCTTCTCGACACGGACTTGAGAGCTCCTCTTCACTATCTTCTTCACCAGCGCAAGGATTTGCGATCGGATTGCTGCCCATGGGTTCCGATTTCCAGGCTATTCCCATCATAGGTATGCATCCGTATCTCGCTGGTCTCCCCTCGTCTCCGGTTACTACTGGCTTGTTTCGGTCGAAGATCGTGGGTATTAAATGCTTGATGCTAGAATTTGTAGGATCAATTAGAAGAATGTATCCTTGTTTTTGAGTTGTTCTCGCCAAGGTTCCACTAGTGCGCCGATTGTATGTTCTTTCAAAATCTGTTTGGGCTCTTAAACTAGGGGCTTTTGGAATGAAAATTATTTATGTTATTTTTTAGGTTACTTGAGGTGATGTAAGCTTTTAGATAACATTTATGAAAAATTAAAGAATGTATCATTGTGAAAGATTCTATGTTCAAATCTTATCTGGTTCACGTATTAAAGATACAATGTGAAAGATCAATTCAAGTTCCTGTGTTGGGTTTGAGCTAGTTGTCACTCACACGAGAGGGGGGATGTCAGCGATATCAATCAATAGATCATAACTATTTCTTCTCCTAAAAGTATGAGGGGCCTTTTTATACAATTTCTACCGATCATTTTAAATACCCTAAAATGCATGTGCATCCAAAAACATGTTTCCAAAACAGGTGGGTCTGTCATGAGTTAGAAACATCTAAAACTTTCAGGCAGCAGTTTTAGTCTGTTGTGTTGGCGGGGCTACTTCTTCTGCTGTTACCCCTGAGGGGGCAAGGGGGGTAACTGTTTGGTCACCATTCCATACGGCTTAGATACTCATATACTCATGATTTTGCCCTCCATTCTGCAGCTATGACTGGTAATCTAGTCGACTTAATATTGTATCATTTATCAAACAATAAATCACCTTGATAGTATAAAGAGTTTATTGGTATGTCAAATGAGTGAACCATCGGAAGTAGCTCAAGTGGTGGTGAAGAAAGAAAAGGTCTATTAATTTAGAGATATTATTAAAATGAGATGAATACAATATTATAATAATCAGATAAATTATAATTAAAAGCTTGGAAATGGGAATTTGGTGGTGAACAAGTTCCTTAATCGATGTTGTGCATAAGAGCTCATTATCGAAAAGTTTTGTGTAGAATCTGTCATGGTATAAATTGAGTTGTTACATCAGTTACATTTGGTGTCTACAAACAGAACAGGGCTTATTCTATGTCTCTGATTGAAGTAACTGAGTAGTGGTTACTGCAGTTCTATGACTTCTAAACGAGGAATGAGTTTCACAATTCTTTTTAACAAGAATCCCAGGTTGATTCATAAGTTTAGGTAAAAAAATTGTTCAGCTGGGTGCAATATCAAGAATATGGTAAGGTGTATCTACATAACCCTACTTCCATTGTTACCTAACCGTACTAGGTGCAGAGGAGTCCATTCAAGGTATTGACGTAGTGCTGCAAATTTTCAGATTTGAATATATTATTTGTTCTCACACTCAGGCTGCAGGTTTTCTTCTTTCATTGTCTTTCTTTCTTTTGATTTTTTCTTAGATCATTGTCATTAATTGTGGCAAAGCACACCTACTCATAGTTATCTCAATGTGTCTTCAAAAAGAGATACAGTTCACATATTCTTTGACATCAAAGGCACTTAGTAGTCTTCTTTGATGTCCCATGTATAAACATTAGACAACTGGTGAGAGTAAGTAGTTAACATTTTCTGGCTCAGAGATTAGTTACTGTCCATATTGAATTACCTTGAGAGAACCAAGTGACTTTGTGAGTAATATCTTTTTTCTTTGTTTGCCTAGCTGTGAGCAATATCTTAGTGATAATGCATATCCTTTCATATTTTCCCTTCTGGGAAAAAAATCTACTTAGAATTATGAATCAATAACTATAATTGATGATGTTTGTTACTCATACATTGATGCAAATATCTAATTCACCATCTAATTTAATAAGATGATGAGGATGCTGCTTTAGATGCTCCATACGTGGCAAATCAATTTGGCTTCATTTGGGTAATTCTTCCATCATGATAAATAGGTGGAGACTTATTTTATCTGAGTTATAACATTAAGCAATATATGTGAGCTGTATCTTCAAGAAAGAAAATGTATCCTCTCATGTTTTATTCTTTTGGAAATTGTCTGCTTGTATCTTAAACTGTATTGATAATATTTTATGATGCTTGTAGCCTTAGAACTTATGGCTCCATCTTGATGTTAGTGCATATTAAGTTCAATAAGATTACTGGAAATTGCTGTTAGCTGCTCCAATGGTAGTTATAGAATCGGGCATCATTCTGGTAGTTATTCAGTAATGTTTAATTTGGGGTCTAATTCCTTTCAACTAGAAATAGATATACCAGGCTTATGTAATTGCATGAGTAGATTATGGATGAAAGATAGTTATCTGAGTTATAAATTTTAATACAAAACAGATGGATGACAATTATGAAAATCCTAACTTTATTCTGAAGAATGAGTTACTTTAGTATAGGTCATGACTCAAGAATAAATTAGATCTTCACAGTAGTTGGATAAAAGAAAGACCTGACATTGTAATGCTACCTATTTAGAATTTCCAGTATATTAAGTTAAATTGATGCCAAATTCTGATGTTTAGACCTATTATGCTAAGTGAATTTTGTATTCTTTTAGTTCTCATTATTTACATTTTAAATTGTTTACCTTCTTATTTTACTGCTTCTTTTTCTTTAGATATCAGTGCTTTCTTGGAAAAGATTGATGATCCCAGGATGGGTGATGACAAAGAACTGCTAGAGGTCATTAGGCAATTGGATGATGCTTGCAAAGAAGCAGGGTTCTTCTATGTGGTAACTTCTCTTCATTCTGTTGCAGCACTTTGCTAATGTTGAAAACAGCTTGTTGTTAAATATTATCTGTATATATGGTATTGTATCTAGACTCTAGAGTGTGCAGATTTTATGTATTATCAGTAACTAGGTTAAAGAAAAGTTTATGCTGTATGTTATCTGTCTGCTATATGCTTCTTTATCTTCAATATAAAGCTCTTTCCCTTCTTCCATCCTTAATCTCCATATTCCTTTCTCTCAATGGTGTTATTTTCTGCACAACTGTGTCTACTTTTTAATGGATCCGAGATCTGGCCTATTGCATAGTTTTCTATCTAATCTATCTTCTATTTCAGTTGCAACAGATAAAGATCCAAACTAATGTCTTATGTCATAAGTCTCATTCTCGACTTGATTACTTCTAATTCTAGATTAGCATGTTTTAGTTTCTTCCTCTTTTTAATTTTACTTTCTACTTCATTTTGATATAGTAGTCTTCAGATTAACTTGAAATCTGTATTTGCTGATTGGTTTATACAACAACAACGACAAGCCATAATATCCCAACATTTTTGTGGTCAGCTTGCTGATTGATTTCTTCATATTTAAATTTGTTGCAAATTTAACTGAAATCTGGATTTTTTATGGCTATTTTCTGTATCTACAATAATTCTTCCTTTTTTTTCCATTAAAAAAATAGTTGAGTTGTAATATCCCTTGAACATAGCCATCCTTTTGCAGTAGGATTAATGAAGAAAACTTCCAAAAGTCATCAAGAATCCATTTGCAAAGGAGACCAAGATAAGTCTTAAAATCATGAGAAAGAATTCCCCTTTCTATGTTTCATACCAAGATGATAATGTTTAACACGATGAACAAAAAAATGGACCATTAATATTGATATTTAAAATTGAGTGTAAACAAAAATATGGATTTATAATGTAAATAATTATATGTAATTATGATTTATGTACTAGTATGTTTGCAAAAGCATAAGAAGCAGATCCAAACGTAAAGTCATTATTTTCTAAAGTTGTCAAGCCAAACTATATTTCCTAATATTCAAACCTAACCAAACTACACTTTTGTGTATTTGTTGGTTTGGTTTGATAATTCAAATCAAATACTGAACACCTCTGGACAAATTAGAAATGCTGGGAAAGTTAGGAAGTTTGATGGGGTATTAGTGAGTTGCTTATTAGCAAGATTTATGACATTGTTATGCAGTGCATGGATAGATATGTAGATATATAGTAGCATTGGAAAAGAACAATCTTGAGTATCAAGTCACCAAGTTTCAAGACATCTTGTTCCTAGCCAAAGCTATCATTTTTTGGCAACTCTCCTTTAAATACATAACTTGTGAGATCTTAGTTTTGCTTAATGAAGCTGAATAAGATGCTTCTAACCTTGCAGGAATTACCCATATTACTAATTTCCTTATGCTACTAAATTTCATCAAATTTATAAACTTTCAATTTAATATTGCACATTTATATTGTTTTAATTCCAGAGAAACAAGGTTTATTCCTGTTTGCATTCTTTGTAGTCCCAACTTTCTTTAAATTTGTGTTTAAGCTTAATCTTGACCTTGCTTTAACGTCAAGAATTCTGACTAGCCTCCCAGAAACACTTAAAAGACACTGAACAATCCTGTGTAACTGAAGATATTAAATCAGGTTTATTTGTAGCAAGGATTTGAATTTCGAATAATACTGCCCGTACCGGGCGGTACGTACTGGTCCGCTAGCAGATCGGTACGCGGACCGCTCGCTACCGGGCAATACCGTCGATTAGGGTTGTTTCGCCCTGTTACTGCCCGAAATCGATCGGTGATGATCGATTTCGACCGTCGTCGCCCGCTACCAGTCAGTATTAGCCGAGGGAGGGAGAAGAAAAGGGAGAACTTAGAGATCTGGCGCCGTTCTCCCTTGACGATCTTGATCCGTCGTTGCCCTCCCTCGCTAGACACCGTAAATGAGATGTCGCCTGCTCCTCCTTTGAGGCGACGAGGCCTTGGTGTCGTCGGCGACTTCTCCTCATCCACGTAGGGAGAAGAAGCACGTTGCCGAGGCTTCGCGGGGAGAAGAAACGAGGCGACGTCGGCCTTTTTCTTTTTTTTAAAACTTATATATATATATATATATGTCGAGCGGTACGCTCTGGCATACTGCTCGATACTTCGGTACGGTACAAAATTACGAACCTTGATTTGTAGAAGGGAATATCTTGCTTTTTTTTGTAGAAGTAAAGAGGCTAACTAATGAGAAATTTTTCTTTCACTATAAATGAAAAAAGAGACTCAACAATTTTAGTTTTGGCATAACAGTTCATCAAATTTCTTCTTTTATTTGTTATAAGGTGCTCCAGCACGAGGCTCCCAATGCTGGGTCTAGGAAGGGTCATATGCCGCCTTAGCCTTATAAGCAAGAGGCAAATTCTATGATTTGATGTCTTTACTTTTACTTTTAACAACTTTTTGTTATTGAATTTTACAGCTGATGCAGCAGTGCCTTTAAACTAATGAGCCATTTTTTAGTGCATTCTAATCTTATTTCAATTCTAGTAGCGCCTGTGTTAAGCTCCAAGAGAACTTGTCATCAAAGTGAGATTTGAGCTTTTACAACTTGATATCATTAATTATGTACAGAAAGGTCATGGTATTCCTGATTCACTGGTTAAAGAAGTAAAGGATGCAACAAGCAAATTCTTTAACCTTCCAAATGAGGAAAAGGTAAAGATTAAGATGACACCAGCAAGTGGATACAGGTCATACATTATTCTCTCTTGGTTATTGCAACTTGCACTTAGTGTTTTTGCAAGTTCAATCAATTCACATTGTTTATTTACTTATAATCAGAGGTTACCAAGAAGTCGCAGAAAATATAACTCTAGGGAAGCCTGACATGCATGAAGCAATTGATGTAAGTTTTATATTACCCACTCATAGTAATCAGTATGTATCTATTTTATGCTTAGCTGAACATTACTATTTGTCATTCTAAGAGGGCTTTGCTGACCTAGTTAAACCTGTGCTTTTCAGTGTTATAGGGAAATGGAAGCTGGGAAATATGGAGCCCTTGGTCAACTTTTAGAGGGTTCTAATTTGTGGTACTTACTACTTAGAGTCTTAGACTCCTTTGTTTTTTGTAAGTTTCATTTTTTTTGTGTATAGTTCACATTATTTTTTGCTCTTGGTCTAGCTAGGAAAGTTCCTCTATTTATAATTTAGTGGTAGGAAATTGCAATATTATTGTTCCTAGAAAAGGGTACAGCAAACCAAGTGGAGTCTGGGGGGTCACATTGGTGACTTTTTTGTACTCCATGTATCATGTCGTTTGGTCAATACACTTCTTGTGCCACCTAGCACAGGCCAAAAACGTGTTTGAATACCATTTTTCGTTTTTTGTGGTGTGGGGTTTCGGGGGGATGAGGGAGTGGAGGTGGAACGGCTGGGGTTGCAGGGCTACATGTCATTCTGGTGGAATGCCTCTTGCACCATCAAATACATACCAAAAATTTGTACAGCCATGTGCTAGTATGATAAGCATGGTAATCCTTGCATAAAATGTTCCATTCTACAAAGTTCTTGGTGGTAATGGAATTTTGATGTGACATTAGTAATATAGGAACTAATAAATACTGAATTTCAATGTGAATAAATTTCAAGTGCAAAGATCATAATTGTCGATGTAAATTTTAAAGATGTGTTGGTGTATGTTATGCATTTTTGACACTAATTTCCTATTTGAAGTTAGAACTATTCACTATGTTCATATGATCGAGTTGTACTATATGGAAAAAGGAACTAAAAACTTTGGGTTATGGTTTATGAAATTTCCTATCAAGTATGGTCTAAATGTTCAGTCTTGCAAGTCTATTCTGACCGATATTTAGTAGTTCGGTAGCTGATCTGTGTGTAGACCCAAGGATTGAAATATTGTACCGTATCGAAGTTTCGAAATATTGTACAGTTCTCTCGGTATGGTACGGTACTGTATACCGAGCGGTATACCGCTCAGTATATATATATATATATATATATATATATATATATATATATATATATATATATAATTTATTTATAAATAAAAAAATATCACTTGGTAGCTAGCGGTTCACGTACCGGTTTACTGTCGGACTGGTACGTACCACCCGAAACTGTATACCTTGTGTAGACCGACAATTACAATTGTTCCTCAGTGTTACACCGAGTTGCATTAAGGATTTGGAACTACATTAAGAAGACATGGCATATACGCTTTTAGTTTTTCACTAGTCTATTGATTTACAAGTGGTTTAAGTTTTCAAATTTTAATTATATATTTAAGTACATATATCATGTGTCCTATTTAGTATTTTTCCATGATTTTTATGCATTTTTTTATATATGGTTTGCACTAGATCTTAAAAACCTATTTTGATTATTATTGAACAAAAAATTATAAAGAACAAGATATTTATTAGTTTTGATAGGTCTGAGACCTGTCCAAATGCTACTAACCAGTCCAGCTCATTCCAACAGTACCTTCCATATGTAATGAATCATTGTCTCCTCCAGAATTTCAGAGCTTTCCAAGACTTAGGCTTGGAATGTATAAAACCTTTAAGAAAATATTATCCTTAAATATTTATTACACAAAAAAATTTTATAACAACAAGGCTGTTTGGCAATATGACAAGAGTTGACCCAACCCATATGATCGATCGGTTCGACTCATAGATATTGATGACTTCAATAATGGACGAGCCGCATCCTCTTGGCTGACTCGTTTGAACTCACAAATATGGATGACTTCAGTAACTTGATGAGCCTTGACTCACATGAATGGCCTGTTCGATGCATATGTTGACTAATTTGACAACATGACAAGCCTTGACTCACACAGCTGACCGGTTTGACTTGTAAATATCATCGACTTCAGTAGAATGATGAGCCTTGATTCACATTGCTGATCGGTTCAACTTGCGGATATCGATGGCTTCAGCAGCCTGATGAGTCTTGACTTGCACGGCTGGTCGATTTGACTTGCAGTATAATATTTTTCCTTGATTCAAATATGGGAAATAGGCTAGTTTCTTAAAAAAAATTGGAGAACACGGGAACAACAGCAATTGCAATTTAGGGAATGTGTGTAGCAGTAAACAATATTTTGCAGCTTGATTGATTCGATTCGAGGACTCGATTGGCTATAATTGGAAAATGATAGTAAGTTATTCCTCACCATAAATAGATCTGTGAACCATTAACTATTATTTGAATATGATCCCTACCAAAACCTATTATTGTTGTTCATTCACATACATGCGCTACTATGGAACAGTGTAGAAGACTAGAAGTTAGGACTTTTCTTTTTAATGGTGGATTTATTACAAGAGAGTCATTGTCTAAATTATGAAAATAAAGATATTTTTACTCCTTTACGTTATCTTTTCCATTTTTCTTATTACAGGCCAGATTATCCTTCAAATTTCAAAGTGGTGATGGAAGAGTATATTTGTCTGCTTACAGGTCTATTTTCAATTGTTAATTTCCTTTTCTTCCCTGATTCACCACAAGCTATTATTTGCCATACTACTGAATAATTCATTAACTGCAGATCTTTCAAGAAAGATTATGCGTGGAATTGCTTTAGCACTGGGTGGACCACCAGATGCATTTGAAGGTGATCGGGCAGGTGATTCTTTTTGGGTAATGCGATTAATTGGATATCCAGTTTTGTCTGATATCCCAGAGTTGCAACGCACTGAGACAGGATGGTACTGCAGTTATGTTATTCAACTGCCTTTTTGGTTGTTATTCAAATTTAAATTCGTTGATTGTAAATTCTTATGTTTTTTCTTTTTTCCTTTTCCCTGCATATCTATTATACGCAAATGCAGTGGAGCACACACGGATTACGGTAAGATGATTTCTGATAAAGGATGCATCACAATAGTCATGCCATATTTTGTTGTATAAATTGTCTTTATGCTCTAGCTATTCTATCCTGGAATTACTGTTACATTGGCATTCTTTTTCATGTAAAGATTTTATTGATTATATTTATACATTATCAACTGGTTCTTCACTTGTAGGCCTTCTGACTTTGGTTAACCAAGATGATGAAATAAATGCTCTTCAGGTACTAATTTATTATGTACCACAAATTTTTGTATATTGTGAAATTGATTTCTTCAGTTGCGATAACGATAATCATTGTGGTTAATCCAAAGGAAGCTACTAGACTTAGGATTTGATGAGACATCAATTTATCCAAATCTTTGGCCTCATAAAGCCAATCACCATGGGACCACTAGTTACAGTATTTAAAGGAAAAGTTTAACTTAGATCCCACTAGTGACCAATAGGATTTGGCAAAGGAATAATAAAAAATAAGGGTCGAATGGAAATTGTAAAGAGGTTACAGATGGAACAAGTTGGGTTTAAGACTACACAAATATAGAGATCCAGTCTGAAGTAGTTAATCTATTTCACAAAAGCTTCCACAGAATAATGTTTTACTCTAGGAGAAATCACTAGATGCCACATAACCTTCCATCCAATCCCAACCTTCTCTAAATAATCCTCTCATGTCCTCTTTTGCTATTATCATTAATTCACTCAAAACTTCAACAACATCAAAGCAAGCACCTAGGATTTAGAATGGTCATCTTGGGATCCATGCATCAGCCTCTTCTTCCTTCTCTAATGTTGTTATCGCCAGTGTCTGCCATACCGAATCGTACCGCCCGGTATGGGTGGTACGTACCGGTCCAACAGGACAGCGGTACGTGGACCGCCCGGTACCGGTCCGCACTGTATCAGTGCTACAGTGCTCGGTACACCGTACCGTACCGGTACCGAGCCCAGGTTGAAATACCGGTACAGTACGGTATTGCGAACCTTGGTTATCGCCTTCTCTTAAAGCAGTAAAACCATATTTTTGTTACTAACCCTTGCAAAGTATTTCCAAAATGATAAATTTAGGATCTTATTTAAGGTTGAATTTGTGATTGTGGTGCCTGGACATATGTGATGGGAAATGATCTAGCTTTAACTCTGTAACAACCACTTGGTTCACCCAAGATGACTCCCATCCTTCTCCACTTTGAAATGCCATCCACTCAAAGTTCTAACTGCACCTATTAGTGCTTTTTTCAAATATCCTACAACAAAGATGGAATAGGACGTCTTCCATATTACACTTTTGTTTCTGTGAGCTTATGGCTCAAATACTCGTAGTATAGGCATGTGCCATGTTTGTCAACAAAAGAACCAGCAATAGCATCACTAAATGCCCAAAGTGCAAACTAAGATACTACCTAAGACCAAGTTGGTAACAAGATAAACAACTAGACTTAAATCAACCATTCTAACAATCACATGTAGCAAGAGATTATGATGTCTTTTAAAGAGAAAGAATCAACATCCCATAGGAAATGGCTGCTTGCTAGAATATTTATTAATGTAACAGACTTATTGTGAGAGTCAGCATTCATGTATAAAGAGCACAAGTAGCATCGCTGTTGATTCCATATGCTCAAAGTGTCGATGGCTTCCTGCTCTATGTACAATTGAATGGCATATCCCGACATAAGAACCATGGACTCATCTTTTGTGATGGACACAATTTCATATGTGCCTTGATGCATATATTTCTATATCGGAGTATGATTGCACCGGTATATATGTTTTGCATCATATATATTATCCATCAAACAAAAACGTAAACAATTTGGGGTCTGCTCTCTACAAATTGTGTGACCTCCTATGTCCAAGGGAGTTGATCAGTTTTTGTGAATGTTCTTGCGTCTTTGTTAGGTATTGCCATGAATTCACATTTTAAGTCCACAATGCTTGTTCATTAATATTTTGAAACATGTAACCTTTTGTGATTCTCACTGTAAGTTCTGACCTCCTCCCAATTGAAGAGCGAGTGACAAAATGACCCTCAATGAACAAGGAGATAATGATGGAGAATTTGAGGCTTATCCTCACCAGCTAACAAAGTATTGGGGAGAGAATAAATATAATCTGACTTATTTATTTAATCTTGTAGTTATCTTTTTGAAGAGTATTGGTTATAGTTGGCACCTTCTATTGCAGGTTAGAAACAGATCTGGTGAATGGATCTCTGCACCTCCCATTCCTGGTACCTTTGTATGTAACATCGGAGACATGCTAAAGGTTATGATATTCTCTGTGCTTCTAGATTGTTGCTCAATTCCAATAAAGTTAATGACTAACAAGTCACAGCTTTTACGGATATTAGATTTGGTCTAACGGATTGTACGAGTCAACTCTTCATAGAGTAATCAACAACTCGCCAAAGTATCGTGTTTCTGTTGCCTTCTTTTATGAGGTATGCCCATCTGATCTTCTTAGTTACATTTCTTCCCCTCTTAACTTCTGTGTTACTTGTACAGCCAAATTTTGATGCAGCTGTCGAGCCATTTGACTTTTGTATGCAAAAGACGGGGGGTACGCCCAAGTTTGGGAAGGTTGTTTATGGAGAACATTTAGTTGGCAAGGTTGGAAACAACTTTAGATACTGACACCGATATTGGTGTTCCTTTAGATGTTCATTTCGACGTCACTGTAAGTCGTCGCATTTGATCCTAATGGTTTATTTTGCTAAACAATTTTCTTCTTTGCACATGCATCAATGTTTGACCATGATATGGAAATTATTCAACTAGACTTGTTTTGTTTCAGGCTGAAAATCTGCATTCAGCTGTTCTAACGACCTCGTGGATCAGATGAGAAATGCAAGAGAGCTTGATGCTAAATCTTTGAGATATTTGTGCGATTGACACTTAGAATGTTGAATATTAATTTCTGTGCTTTCAAGAACAGAAGTTGTTTGGATCTGTTCTCAAGCTTTATGTTTATTTATGACTTGACCTATAAAATTTGTACCATGATTTTCAAGAATAATTATAGATAATCCTCTATAATTAACTATGATTAGTATCTCGATCCTCACATTTTAAAAAATAGTATTGGGGTCCACGAATGTGAAATATTTAATTCTAATTTTTCTTACGTTGTTAATTTTTTCGATGAAAAAAATCGTATGTCGTGTGTCAAAAGGACACGAATGAGGAAGATAAAAATATAGTTTTATTTTTAATTATTATATATATATATATATAATTATTATCGTTTTTTCTTCTCTTTTTAACACTCGACCTGTGCTCTCAATTGTTGTTGCTCTTGCATCGCTTGACCTCGTCTCATTTGCATCGCTTGTCATTGTCGTACTGAACTAACTCGTCTTGCACCTACTAGCTTTCCTACATTGTTGGTTGTCGTATCGAACTAGCTCGTCTTGCACCTACTAGCTCTCCTACATTGTTGGTCGTGGTTGCATCAGACTTGCTTGATTGTCGTCGCTCCTGTATTCCGTATTCCAATTGCAAAGTTTGGTTGAGATTGACAAGCCATGACATTTGATTTCAAAACTCTCTAGCTCATTTTCTTTACTTCCACTCACATGCTAGAAGTGGTGGGCGGTGTAGGTGCGACGACGGTTGAGCAGGAGGAATCATGGTCGAGTGGGTTCAGTGCAACGATGACGAATGGTGCATGAGAGGCAATGGTCGAGAGCACAGGTTGAGCAGCGACGATCGAGATCGCATGGTAATAAGGAAGAGAAAGAACGATTATGATATTTTAAAGAATATATATTTAATAATTAAAAAATATAATTATATTTTTATTCTCCTCATTCGTGCCCTTTTTGCACATAATAAGATGTACGATTTTTTTCGTCGAAAAAATTAACTACGTAAAAAAAATTATTTTTTAAAAATATAGGGACGTGTTACTTTTTAAAATATAAGAATCGAGATGCTAATCATAGTAAATTATAGGAGGTTATATATGTAATTATCTTGGTTTCATCTAAAACCTTTCCCTTTGCCATGAATCGGGACAACAAATTGGAGCATCAAATTGCCCAATTCAACTCAAGCTTAGATTTCCCTCCCTATTGAAAAATCTGGATCAGATCATCAGGAAGATACAAACTATCATCTTCCTTAAACTTTAGACTTCATAGGTCTAATCAGGATGATCCAAACTATCATCTCTCCTCTTCCAAAGCTGATACAGTTAGAACCTAACTGCAACTCTAATAAGAAACTAAACTAACTGTCGATTACCTGCAACTCTAACTTCTTGTTGTGCCGAACCGAACTCTTGGTTGGTCATATAACCCTTTCTATGTAAACTATCAGCTTCAACTCACCCAAGTCAGGTCACATCTTAGCCCACACCCAACTTGGACTTGTCAAGCTTATCTAAAAATATTATTCTACCTGTTAGGACTTCAATTTTGGCTTACTCTTATAAGGAAGAGTCACTTTACAACCATGTCATTAATACTTTAAGGAGATTGCTATAGGTAATCATTTTTTATTATTTATAATATCATGTTAGTAATTTTTAATATTTTTAAATTACTTTTCTTCTTCATCTTCTATTTGTAAAATACCCCTCTCCTCCTACTGCTTTTACCTTTTTTGTTTTTTTTTTAAGCTCGGGAAAGGCATGCCCATATGGAGGAAAGTGCGATCGAGGAATTAAGACATTGATGAAATTGGGAAAAAGCCTATCCATATCGTTTTTTCGGGGGTCTCATCTAACCTTGCAATATGTTCCTCTTTCAATTGGACAAAACACCTCACTCACACATAATGTACCACTCAAGATATAAATATATAAAGCATATAATATATCCTAACTCGACTAGTATACGAGACTCAACCATTTGGAACATTCGATGCAATATGATATAGCAAAATATAATTTTTTTTTTGATGAATATTACATTCATCTCACACATTAATACGAGAGTAGTCAATGAGCCCAAAGTAAGTATACATCTTTCTTTTACGTGTCATGCATCTATCAATTTATCTTATTATACGTAAGCATCCAAGATATATGATTCATGAGAAAGACATTTTACGTAACTTCATTCATCCAAGGCATCAACATCAAAGTGCATGATGCATCTTAACAAGGAAATAATATGTTTTTCAAAGATGCATTCTCTCAATATATAAACAATAAAATATACAATGAACCATGACATGATAAGATATGTCTTTACACACACGATGCATCTACCTAGGAGGACATAGGTATCAAAGTACTTGAAATGACTATACTAGGTACAATATCTTTCTACATACGATGCAATGTGCACTAGACATAAACACAATGTTTGATAATCGAGCAAAGCATCAGCTATACCTAATGCATCCATCTCATATAAAGACATCTAAAGCAACCTTTAACCTTTCTAAATATAGATAATAGTTGTCCAGTTTCTAATTCTTTATAGTTAATTGAGCTTCAACACATAGAGCTTAATCAAATTAGATATGATATAATTTCACATCCAAACAAGTCATCTCATTTCATGGCTCGATAAAACTTCCCTAGGCGGATATGTTCTTTAATCAAGCTTCATCCTCATTTGAGCTTAATCGTCAATCTTCTAAATCTCATTTTATCCAAAAATAAACTCTTTCTAAATTTAAAAAAATAAATTAGATTCGATAAACTTATCATCTCAAGTCGATGATCAAAATCGACACTACTAAATTAATTTAAACTAGGCTGAAAGAAAGTATATCAAAAGTACTTATCCTTTATGAAAAAAATCCAATTAAAAGTTTAAAATAGTAAAAAAAAGAGTCAAAGATTAACCCCCTAGTCAAATGATCACCCTATCATCATTGAGTAAAAGCAACAAGTCAAACGAAATAATGACAACAGCAGTAATAGTTGTGCAATCTTTATGACGATAGCTAATCATAGTCCCGCCTATTGTTTGTGCGCTTGAAATCCAACGGATGATATGGATCCATCATGCTTTAAGATATGCGCAGGAATTAGCACAAGCACCGACGGCCGGCAAGACTCCTGTCCCCTGTCTCGGGCTTGTTAGAAGATTGACGTCGTTTCATGCTGGCGGAACCCAACCGGATTCTGAATCCGGATCCGAAAAAGTCTAGGCCCACTTGCCCTGGGAAGCCATCTCAGGTCGGGTCGGGTCCGGATGTGCGTCGGCCCTCGGTATAAGAAAAATAACGATGCTATTCGGATCCGAGTCGGGTTGGGGCAAAGAAAACAGACGCCAAGGAACCTCACTCGCCCTCGCAAGTCATTCGGATTCAGGTCCGAAGACGGATTCGGATTGAGATTGGGGTTAAAGGAACAGCTCTGCTTGTCCCTGACTCCGCCCTTCCACCCTCGGTTTCCTCTGTTGCCCTTCTGTTCCCTTGCCACCGCCGACGATCCCGACGTGGTCGAGTCCTTCGAATAACAGTACGACCTCCGGGACTCGGCCGACACCTCCTCTCACAGCCTCTTATTCGCTTCCTAATCTCCTGTTTCCTTCTGACGGCAATGCCCACCTAGTCCAGAAGAAAAGAAGAATAGGGCGAAGAAGAGCAGGAGATAGAGGTGGAGGAGATGGGGCGTTCTGAGCCATGCGTTCTATTTGCCCAATCGTTCGTTCATTCTCAACTTGATGAATATGTTGATGAGGTCAGTGTCTCTCTTTTCTGTTTTCCCTTTTGCCATCTCTCTAGATTTTGGGTTTTTGTCGATTTCGGTTTCAACTTTATGAGTATACTGAACGTTGTTCGAAGTGACGCTTTTGTCCAATATCTAATTAATCTCAAAGCTTTCAACCTTTTTGAGGCTCTAAATGCTTTATGTTACTCTTTTGTGTATTTGTATTTCCAATCCTTAGGAAGGTCTTTGCTGCATTCAAATAAGGCTAAAACGTGACTGTTTTTTTTATAAATATTTCTGAATCATCGGGGAAGGTGTTTATCGTACAAAAAATGGATAAATAGTTGAAACAATTCATGACTTCGGAAGATGTTTGATTAAATTCTCGTTGTTATAATTTAGACTTTTGGTGTAAACCTAACATTGAAAAGATTTTTCCAGCACTACTTGAGACACTCTGGGATATTTGCATGTACTTTGAGAAACACGTATGCATTCCTTTATACAGTAGATTTTCGTTATCTAAATACCTAAAACATTGTTGCTTTTCATTCTCTTGGAAATTTTGACTTACTGAATATCAGGTTTCATGACATGTTAAATTGTCTTTATGCAGGTCCTCTTTGCAGAACCTGTTATCATTACTGCTTGTGAGTTTCTTGAGCAGAATGCATCTCCATCTGCACCAAATGTACCACTACTTGGGTAAAAATTTGCTAGTTCTGTTGACGTATATTTTGCTGCATGCATAAAGAAAATTATTTTGATTCATCTGATCTCATTCAAAAATATCGGCGATGGCTTGTGGGCAGCTGGTGATGCAAAGGACAGTAATTGAAGACCTTAAATATTATAAAAAGGAACTGAATCGGGTCGACAGAGTGAATAATCCCTGGTTTGCTTGTTGATTCAAGACCTGGACCAGTAAATACTGTCCAATACATGCTAATCAAATTTTCTTGAAATCATGACCATGCCAGCCTTGTGGTATCACCCTGGTTTTGCAAACAGCAACCTCCCTAATGGAGGACCATTACTTTTAAAAATGTGATCGGTCTAGCATATATAGATTTTTAGTATCTTATCTTTATTACTTGTCATATGCAATAAGCTGTATAGCTCTGTTGAGATGTCGATTTATTGTGAATGCCTCATCTAGGTTTAGCATATTTTGAAGTGGTTCAATAATCAAGGCAGTGACAGAGTTGGTTTAGTGCGATTAAAGAAGCATGGATGGGAACTTGATCAATGTTCGAAAAAGTTGCTTTGCTATGCAGGAACTTAAAGTATTTTTATAGTGCATGTGTGGTATATGGGTGCATATGTCGGTTCATGTGCAATAGATAATAAAATATTTTAGTGTCATATCAAGTATAAGTAATCTCAGTAAGTGATAGTGATAGTTATAAGATACATGCAAGGTGTCTCTGATG